TATCAAAACCTTTTGAGTCAAAAGTTTTGATATCGCTCCTAACTAGGCCAAATATAAAGTTTTAGTTCTACGCACATTGAAATAATGCGCTAGTAAAACTGAGTGATAACGGACCTCAAGGTCAAAACCGAACTGTGCGTATCGATAAAAATGCTCATTCAAAATTTATTACTTCTTACTTTACTAAAAGAATTAATATCCAGGAGCGGTACGAGGAGTAGGGCAGTGATCGCAGCTTCCCTGAGCTCCGCTGTCACCGTCTTGTCCTCTGTCTCCGGGAGCTCCGGGCTGTCCTGGTCCTCCAGGTCTTCCATTGTCTCCGGGAGGTCCTTGGCCTCCTGGGTTTCCTGGGTTTCCTGCGCCTCCGGGGTTACCGTTGGGTCCTGGGGGTCCTGGTGGTCCAGGTGGTCCGGGTGGTCCTTGGTTACCGGGAACGGTAGTGAGTCTACCAGGTGTTCCTGGTGCACCTGGGTTTCCTGGTTGACCAGCGTTTCCGGGTGGTCCCTGTGGTCCGGGAGCTCCTTGGCCTCCTGGGTTACCAGCATTTCCGGGTCGTCCGTCGGGTCCTGGGTTTCCTGGTGCTCCACGGCTTCCTGCATTTCCTGGGGGTCCTGGTGGTCCAGCGGGGCAGTTGAAGCAGGGAGGTGTGATTGGAGCTGGGGTGGCTGGTGGGCCATCAGGTCCGTTTCTTCCGGGCTGTCCTGGACGTCCATCACCTCCAGGTTGACCAGCTGCTCCTGGTGGTCCTGGTGGTCCTCGAGCGGAAACTCCGCAACCGCAGCATCCACCGCCGGCCTGACGACGGCTCCTAGTCACCTTGGCGAGGGTCTAAATGGAAAGAATCAGCGTGGTATGGCAAAACATGCAAAAATCAAAATTACCTGGGTGCGGGTAACTTCTCTCCACATGTTTCCTGAGCGGGACTTGCAGAAATCGACCTCGTTTTGCATGGCGGAGTGCATGTGCTGCATGTAGTTGTACAGCATTGGCACTGAGACGACGCAGATCAGAGTGGCCATGGTGGAGAGGGCCACGCCAAAGAAGGCGAGTCTCCGGAGAGAGACTGCCTCAGCCTCGAAATGCTTCTCGTCGGTCATTGCTGTGCGGATAATCGAATTGCTTCCTTATATATATCCTTTTCAAGGCCACTTATCAGTTTTAAAAACTCGGTATTTCGAATATCAGTTTTTGGTTTGGCCGCTAATCAGCAAGGTCGTCCAATGCTCACGCTCTAAATTCCAAATTCAGAAAATACTCTTAGACTAGGGTTGTGGTATGCTGATTATCATACGTGAACAGGTTTGCCAGATTATGCCGCAAATTCCGAAATAAATCTGATTGAAGAGGTTTAAATTTCAAAGGTGTACCTTTAAAGGCAGTGTCCGGCCAAAACCCTCGATTTTGAGATTTTGTGCTTACCCGGGCCTATTCACTATGCTAAGGGCCTAACGCAGGAGGCAATCACAAGTGGGCGGGGTCTTCCCCACTGCGGATTCACGCTCCAAGCTTCCGGAACGATCTTCTCGGTCCCGATTTCAAGTCATGCATTTGCACCTGGCCTGTGGAGATCTCAGGTCGGTAGCGAAATTGAGAAAAGATGCGCTTCAGAAGATGGGACCGCAAAATTCACAATAGGGGAGACCCCGCCCACTTCTGATTTCCCTCCTGCGTTAGAGCCCTTTTTTGCCGTTTTCGCGCTTTCCAATGTGGATTTTCGAAGTCAGCATGGCGAATAGGCCCAGGTAAGCACAAAATCTCAAAATCGAGTTTTTGCCCGGACACTGCCTTTAAAGTGCGCAAAACGTCCCCTCTCTAGTCATTAGTAATCCAAGGAAATGATTTTCCGCCAGCGCAATACTTCATTCGTGTTCCTTTAAAGAGAACTCAATAATGCTTAATAGAAACAAATTTGATTTTGCTAATTTCGAAGTATGATTGTATGATCAAAGAATTCGTTAGCATCGCTCTTTTCCGGAAAATTGCAACAGCTATAGGATCAATATGCAAGTGCTCGAACATTAATTGGCTCCAAAATTCGGGTAAATACGTCGGAACTTCTAAAGAAACGTAAAGCAAATGAGCAAATTCGCAATTTGAGCTGGATTTGCCTTTTTTGATCAAAAGATCTAGATTTCTGAACTAAGTGGCTTTTCGCTTTTAGATGTTTATACTGGACGTGTTGCAGCTGCTATAGGTACCTTTGCGTGTTGTGACTTTCATACTCAAGAGTTTAAATGATGTTTTTGCTTGCTTCCATTTGGAAAGGGCCTATGCTCATGTGTACTATCCTTTTCTTTCCGCGTTGGAATAGAGAAGAGTATGTTGATGTTTTTTTACCATAACACATTTGCAGCCTCCCGTCGTTTCAGGAGTGTCCTGTTTCGCACACCAGAAGCATTGTTCGTTATCTTCATAGAGCATCTACATAGCTTGAAAGTCGCAATATAAAAAAGACGAAGTGTTGTGATGATTACAAAATGTGTGAAGTTGAAGTCACTGAGGATAAAGACGTTTTTATCGGTCTAAATGCTTCATTGTTTTTTTTACAAGATATCGTTGGTACGATCTTCTGTGCTGATTTGCTTATCTAACTCCTCTTACAGTTCAATCTTTTCAGATCTTACTCTTATTCATTTTTTTATTTCAAGACTTTTTGTTATTTAAGAAGTGAATCTGTAGGTTTCTTCTTTGTGATAAAAGGCTTTTGAGTTGACACCTAGTTTTTCCAGTTGGATTGTGAGAATGATATGACCTAAAAGTTTAATTGTGCTTGGTTATATACCTTTCTATTTTTGCATTTTGAGGAGTAAATGTGACTTCGAAATTCTCGGACTTGTCCCATGTTTGTATCGTAATAGACATGACATGATCGTAGTTCCCCTTAAGTGTTGCATATTTTAGATGCTTTCTTTTGTTTCCCCCCAGAATGCGCATTTATGAAGTACTAGTAGTTGACTTTTTGCAACTTTGATAGTGATTGACTATGTTTGGGTCTGTATACGTATTTAACGTTCAAACCTTTGAATTCGCCGCATTTTTCTACGGTTGAGTTCGAATTGTAACAACGACTCGTCGAAGGGGCTTTTTTTGTAATTCGAGCCACCCGTATAACTATTCAGGACGAATGTGGCACAAAGTCTTATATTGTTTCCGAGAAATACTTAACGAGAAAAACATTGCTCGAGAAAAGTTAGCGATAATGTAAAAATTAAAATATCCAGGGTAAAGGGTGGGGTGTGGCACGCCACACTGGGGGGGGGGTGTATTGAGAAGTCAGAAAGAGGAAGGGGTCGTCAATAGTAGCCACGTATGATAGCCACATAACATGATATTGGTAAATAGTTCACCAGATAATCCCAGTATGCGAAATACAAACACATGAGATATAAACCTGTCATTACACCTACCGGGGTAGGCGAACGAACTCCGCCAGTTTCAACCGCCTCCGCGGACTACTGGTTCTGCAGTGACATGCAGCAATATTGCGAAAGGACCAGTTGCCAGCGAAGGCGGGCACACACTGGAGGATTCGTTCGTCTACCTTACCCACCGTAACGTAATTGAAAAAAAAAACCCCATCATGGCGATATATGCATAATTAGCATGTCAAACAACCCCTGTGGTCCAAGTTTGAGCGAATTCAGAAGTCTGCACATACTAGGCCACCCAGTGAAAATGGGGTTGTGCCACACCCCATTAACTTGCCTCTAAACATTTTTGCGAATGATATTTGCATGATTCGATAGCTTAAACCTCGCAGCTCTTTGCTCTGAGTAATAGTTGATGAAAGCACAGCAAAAGAAATCGAAAAATGGGACAAACGAGATTTTGGCTTGCTCCTAATTCCATAGTTTGGCGATTTTTTAAGTCGGGGTTTCCGAGTTGGGCAAAGGAGGAATAGTGCAACTTAATGGATGCAAAAGGAGACAGCTAGTCCCTTCTGAAAAAAAGATGATCGTGTTCGAAAATGACCATTTTTACTAGGTGGCCTAGTATTTGCAGACTTCAAAATTCGTTCAAACTTGTTCCACAAAGGTTATTTGACATGCTAATTATACATACATCACTCACTATGCTTGGTGGGGCCTTTGTGTTATGTCTATCTTAAGTTTTTAGTAGCTCGAGGGTCTTATTGTAATAGCAGTTAGGGGAGGGGGGGGGGACATCGTTTTAGCGATAGTGTCACACCTCTTGCTTGATTCTGGAAACGATGCCCCAGTTTGGTCTTTTCGTAAAATCTTGAAAATCAGAACGTGAATCAAAAGGTGGCCATTTACTGCATAAAAATACGTGATACTTGAATACAGATAACATATAGGCTGTTGCATGACAAAGGCGCAATATCTTTGGGCGCGAACGCGGCTTTTTCAGCTACGGGGCGCATTAGGCGTAGGATTTACAAAGGTAAAGATACGCGCGCGCCACGTTCGCGTCTGCTCAGCTAATAATGCTCCTGCGCCTTCGTCATGCAGGAGCCTTTAAGTCGACTACCTAGTACTACTCAATTCTACCCAGTTTCACACAAAGCCATAACCACTGATCAAGGCGAACAATGCTAGCAAAAGAGTGAGTGAGTAAGATAATGAAAATAGATGCTGCAAGTAACTCTAACCATGGCTATGAAGAAGCTCCACACACTGACCGTTGCCTTTTTACTTGTTTTCTCTCCACATCCTCGGTCGCGCGTCCGGATTGATTAGCATAACATAGAAGGAACATGAGAAACTAATTGCATGAGAAATGACTTAGAAGAGATAGTGCTTGTAAGCCCTGATAAAGATCCAACTTCCTTTCCTCAGTCTGCCGGGCGAAATCGAACTGATTTTTGCACTCTGTACCACTCGGACAGAAAACCAAACAATTTCCACACCTTGTGCACACCCTTAGGTAATCCCCAAAGCCCGCCCCGTCCGGGACTACTGGGCACGAATCCGGGTGATGGGCATCCTTTTGGCCACGATAAGTGCATCTTACGAACCCTGCTTGATCGAACGGCTCCACTATGATGAAGTCTTCGTTCTTGCATGTTGAGCTTCTTGTTCAGCTTCCAATTCGCCAATTATTTCGCCAATTATCAACTTCAGAGCAGAGATCGCCTTGTATGTATCTCCAGTTGCAGTTGCCTGATTAGGATCTAGATTCATTTTTCTCTGTATTGATTAGTGGTTGGGATATACTCAGAACGATAAGGCTTCGAATACCACTTGTAAACCACAACCAGAGATATTGCCACGCGCGACTTCGTATGCGCACGAGCAAGCTCAAACTTGGGTGATTAAACTTTATCTGGCAATAAAATAGCAACAAACAAACACGATTAAACGATAACAAGTGAAAAGAATAAATGAGATCTAAACTACAAACAGTGAACTGAGAGAAGGCAAAACAAAAGAGCAAAGCGAATGGTGGAAGCAAGCTAAGTTTGGCGGTTCAGTGGAATTACGCTGTTGATCAACACCAGATACGCGCACCGTTTATAGTCCCAGCACTACCTCATACTTGGTAATTAAACCCTCGTCTGGGGTTGAAAACAATAAACACGATCACATCAATAAACTGTGAACACATCATGAAAATTGAGCTTTTGATTTCCTTGACTACTTTGGCTAAGTTTTTTCCTGCCTTTTTGACCAACTTTGAAAACGTGCTGATGAGTTTGAAACTTGCTCCAAAACCGATATTCGAAAGAGCTTTCTCAAAAGGGCGCTTGATGTAAGGACAACACTTCTTGCATAAGTGTAAAACGAAATGGAAAACGTGGAGCAATTCCAATTCCTCCCACCATGGAGGCTCAGGAGTCAAATGGCGTATGTTGAGCTTGAGCTTAGCGGCGGCATCTTCTCGATGTTGTCGTTGCGCCTTGACGTCGTGCATTTCTGTAACAGATTCATTGGGAAGATAAAGCTACTTGGGAAACTGTAAAATCTTGCAGCTCGCGCTGTGAAGCCGCGATACTGCCGCCCCACCTTGTTAATAAGTGGAGTATGAGTATGAGTAGCATGAGCGCAGTTCGTCTTCTAGAAGTTGCAATCTTGCCAATTTTCGATTCACTGAATTGCGGCCCTATCCAATCTCTCTAGTGTAGACGTGCTTGAATCCGGCAGGCTGCAGACCGATGTGTGATGGCCATATTGCCGGCAATGATGACATGGCGTGAGCCACTTTCGGCAGCTTCGCACCCCGGGGCAGACAATGTTCAAAACGTTGAGGCATATGTGACGTTTCCGCTGAGCATCGAAGAGATGCCTTCTGTCCGCTGAATTGCGAACTACGGGGCACGAGTCCGAATAGTGCATCCCGGTCGCGTCCCAATACACGCAACGGATAAGACAATCCGCTTCCCGATAAATGGCCCGATTCTGAAGTCGGTGGGGTGGACATATCATACGTTCCTCCAATTGCCTTATGAGATCATTCAATTTGTTGATTGCCTGTTGAATTTCTCGTTTTTCCCGTTGAATCTCGAGTGCTCTCCCTTCCTCGATGTTTCGCTGCTCATCATCGTCTTGATCTTCTGCCTCATTGTTCGCCCCTTCGGCAATCTCGCCTTGTTCGATAGCCCCTGCCTCCTCGGGTGACGCTCGAGGTGCTGGGCATTCCTCCTCTTCATAAAGTTCGTCGATCAGCTCCAGCATCTCGTCGTCGTCGATGAGTCTGGGAAATTCCTGGTAGTCTCCTTCATGTTGATTTCCCTCGTCGTCGATTAAGCCCAGTATTGGCTTTCTCTCTTCGTCACCTCGACTTTTCGGGTGATCCCTGTCTTCATCAGTATCATTCGCTCTTGCAGGTATGTCTGGGTCTTCCTCCAGGTCTTCTTTTGAGACTTCCTCCCCTTCTCCTGAGGGTTGAAATGCCCTATCGTCCTCCCCTTCTTCTGGAGTTTTGCCTACTACGTTTTCTTCTTCCATGTCTTTAGATTGACGTTGACTTTCGTCGCTATGGGGTATATGACGCACACTTCGACTTTTCGCTAGTTGCGAAGCTCCCCCGCAATCGTTTCAGTTTTCTCTTCATTGCTTTTCTCTTGGTAAGTGTACATTTCCGTGCTTAAGGACTGTGTTTCCATTGTGTCGACGGGAGGTCCCTTGTCCGTCTTCTGCGCGTCGCACTTTTTCAATTCCTCATCATCGTGTGTCTTTGGCGTTTGTAGCACATTTTCGCACGCGTTTCTCAACGCGCAAAGTGCATGTCTCATTTCATCTTCCAAATCGTATCTTTCAAGTTTCTTTTCTTCTTGTATTTCCAGTTGTTTGTTGTTGAGAGTATTTTTATAGTCTTCTAGAAGTTTTAGTTGTTCTTCATTAACTTCTTCGAGTGCTTCACGATCTAATAGTATTTCGTTTGGCCATCTGCAGCGGTTTGAAGCATCGCGTTCCTTTCTAATCTGGATACAACGTTGGTGTTGATTAGCAGATTAACTGTATCGTAAAGTGACTTCAGTTGTGTTTTGATTAGAAGGAACTCGAGTCTTGTCTTTTCTAGTTCCGCCATGAGAAGTTGACATTTTATTATCTGCACTTGTGCCTGCTCATGAACGGTTCTCACTGACGTCATCTTCGGAAGATCTGGAGCGACTCCTTCGTTGCACTTAATTGTTTTGCAGCTTCGACTATGTCCCGGCCGATGCGCCATTTGGCGGTTCAGTGGAATCACGCTGTTGATCAACACCAGATACACGCACCGTTTATGGTCCCAGCACCACCTCAAACTTGGGTTTTTAAACCCTCGTCTGGGGTTGAAAACAATAAACACGATCACATCAATAAACTTGAACACATCAAAAATGAGCTTTTGATTTCCTTGACTACTTTGGCTAAGTTTTTTCCTGCCTTTTTGACCAACTTTGAAAACGTGCTGATGAGTTTGAAACTTGGTCCAAAACCGATGTTCGAAAGAGCTTTTTCAAAAGGGCGCTTGATGTAAGGACAACACTTCTTGCATAAGTGTAAAACGAAATGGAACGTGGAGCAATTCCTCCCACCATGGAGGCTCAGGAGTCAAATGGCGTATGTTGAGCTTGAGCTTAGCGGCGGCATCTTCTCGATGTTGTCGTTGCGCCTTGACGTCGTGCATTTCTGTAACAGATTCATTGGGAAGATAAAGCTACTTGGGAAACTGTAAAATCTTGCAGCTCGCGCTGTGAAGCCGCGATACTAAGTACAACGATACTTATATGCGTGACTCTGTATTCTAGCTGCAGCTGTGCGCGACTTCACAGATGACGACTGAAAAACAATGCATCGTGCTAGCATCTGTGCCTTCTCCAGGAATGTGCTACGAGATGATCAACATCTCGTATATTCTCTTCGTCCTCTTTGTAGTCAAATCCTTCTTCCGCTTCAATAAGGAGTGGTGGGGGTTCAGATTTCACACTTTGCCTCAAAAAGACTTCGACTAGTAACTCACTTCCTCCTGTAGGTCTGAAGAGTCGAACTTCTCCCATCATTTGTACAACTCATCAACCTGTGATTGAGCTTCCCCTTCCCCTTCGTTTTCGAATTCATCCACCAGTTCCAGTACGTCATCGTCGTCCACTAGTTCTGATGATGTTTTATTTGTATGTCCTTCTTTTGGGTTGTTCTGTTTCGCCTCGGCTGCCAGTTATAAGTTCATTGTGTTGCTGTTTGTCTGCTTTTCCATCTTTTTCTCTTTATCGCACCCCACTGCATCCTTCTCGTTTCTCTGACGACAACAGTGCTTGACAGTTGTCGCTGACTCACCAGGAAGAGTGCGAGGGACCGGGTCTGTCGGGGCTTTCTTCCCGCTTTCCCGACTGTGCTCCTTTATCTGCTTCGCCAGATCGACAATTTGTTGCTTTGTATTAGAGATCTCCTTGAGAAGTAACTTGTGTTGTTTTTGTGCTTCATTTTTCATCTTGAGGTCCCGTTCTTTTCCCTTGTTCAGTGCATTATCAATCTGCTGCTGCACCCAGTTCCGGGTTTCCTCTTGTTGTTCTCTGAACTCGCGTGGGAGCTCCGTGATAGGATTGTTCAGTTCTTCTCTTTCTTGGTCATGGACAGATCTGGTTCTACCGATCTCTTGTTCCACATCGCGAATTTCGTCCAGCTCAGATCTCAAGACGACGTCATATCCTATTTTAATCTTGTCAACCATCGACATCAGGTTTCCTTTTTGTAATGGCGGTGTTCAGGCCGCGGCCGCGGATAATTCGGATCGTCTGGTTTGTGGGCCTCATGATAACGCTTCTGACTGGTTCAAGTAAAGGATGCGATCCCTTTCCTGGGCTTCGTTGGCCACCACAAGTCTTTTATACCATTCATGTGCGAGTATGAGCTGGTCCATCCACATGCCGACTTCCTATTTTTCCTGTTGGGAGTGAAAATCCTTCAATTTCATGATGTAGTCCATAAATTCTATCAAGTTACTAGGTATCTCCTATCTGTCCGATCTCAGCTCGGTGAAATCCAATTTTGCTTGTTTGGGATGGTCTTCATACTCGTGGCATTTCTCTGCGCAGGCCTTTATCTGTTGCTGAACTTGCTCTTCGTTTGGCCTTGGGGGGGGGGGGGGGAGGGCTGAGTTATAACCGGTAACGGTTGCAGTGTTCTTCCTCTCTGTGCATCCATGATTGTCCTCGCTGTGAAATCAAAATTATTGCGTGGAAGTGTTGGCTGTCATGAATGAAATGCTGGAGACTTGCGTAGACTGCCCGCGGTGTGCCGTAGCCATGCGGACATCAATACAATTACGGCCATGCTATACGTTGGACGTACACGACTCTGCAAATGAGCGGTTGACCTGTACACAGGATGAAGAAGGTTACAAGTGTCGAATTTGCACACACAATGGTAGATATGATAAGTAAACTATGAGAGGAATTCTATACCAATTGAAGTTGAATAGTTTTGGAGTGCGGTAAATTCTGTCTTGTCCTTCTTTACCTATGTATTCCAGAGGATGATCCAGAGCCATCTTGTTTTGAATGAAGTCTATGGGTCGAAGTATTGGTTGTTCTTCCCATTTTCCTTCTTGATAAGTTAGAGGCCACGAGTTCAAAACCGCTTCTATCTCCGCGAGCATGGTCCTGAGGCCATCAAAACTGATGGTTTGTTGGCACTCCAAGCGTTTTGTACAGCGAGTTTCTGATGGAGCGGATAAGCCTCTCATAAAATCCACCCTGCCACGGTGCATAAGGCGTAATATAATTCCATCTAATCTCTCGCCGTGCTATTTCGCTTCCTACTTCAGTGGTATTGACCATATTACCTGTGGAAGCAAGCTAAGTACAACGATACTTATATGCATGACTCTGTATTCTAGCTGCAGCTGTGCGCGACTTCACAGATGACGACTAAAAAACAATGCATCGTGCTAGCATCTGTGCCTTCTCCAGGAATGTGCTACGAGATGATCAACATCTCGTATATTCTCGTCGTCCTCTTTGTAGTCAAATCCTTCTTCCGCTTCAATAAGGAGTGGTGGGGGTTCAGATTTCACACTTTGCCTCAAAAAGACTTCGACTAGTAACTCACTTCCTCCTGTAGGTCTGAAGAGTCGAACTTCTCCCATCATTTGTACAACTCATCAACCTGTGATTGAGCTTCCCCTTCCTCTTCGTTTTCGAAGTCATCCACCAGTTCCAGTACGTCATCGTCATCCACTAGTTCTGATGATGCTTTATTTGTATGTCCTTCTTCTGGGTTGTTCTGTTTCGCCTCGGCTGCCAGTTATAAGTTCATTGTGTTGCTGTTTGTCTGCTTTTCCATCTTTTCCTCTTTATCGCACCCCACTGCATCCTTCTCGTTTCTCTGACGACAACAGTGCTTGAGGTTGTCACTGACTCACCAGTCGTTCTTGAATGTGGGATTTCTTCGTTGCACACTTGAGTTTCAGTAGCTTGTGAAACGCGTTTTCTTATGCTCTTTTCAAGTCATTATTAGAGCTTAGAGCTGGCGTTTATTTGATGTGTATGATATCTTCTCCAACAGCACTCTTGACGAGTTTCACCTTAGCATATTTCTGCACTCTTATAGCAGTTATCGTGTAGATGGCCGATTGGTTACTTTCTTCACCCATTTGCTTGCAGTGATAAGGAAGCGGTATCCACACAAAGTTGCTAGATGAGTGATTTGCCTTACCTAAGCACTGCTCACTCATAAATTCCCATGTTTTGCCTTCTTTCCAAAATAGGTACAGAACTGTCAACACACTGTTCTCCATTGCAGAATGTGCAGTTACATGAGAGGTGTGTAGGATCCGCCAGTTGCTTTGTAGTTGATTGACTTTTTTGGATCGTCGGCCCTAGCTGCGCCTTTGTATGAAACTTGTCGGCCGCACTTTTGCCCTAAACCTTTTTTCGACATCTCTCCCCTCGCAGTTCTATACGGTGCTGACGATTTCCAATTACGGTCCACCGCGGTCATCCATGCTTAGGAAATTGCGCAAGGACCATTAGTGCAAGCTTTGGGACGTTGATGTAAACCAATTCGCAACCATTCCATTTTCAGTTGCATCCCCTTTTCCAAAAATGGTTCAAAGGTGGAGGCTGCCACAGGGTCCTGGTTTGATTCTTTCCGGCCGATATTAGTTAGTAAATAAGGGTTTGCGTAGTGCTAGCGGGCTAGCTCGCTGGCAAGAACACACCTTGTACTCATTAGTTTATTGTTATGGAAGCAACGGGATACAGAAAGCAGTATAGGAATATAACCGTAAACGAGGAAGATCGTAGTGGAGCAGGATATAACAGGAAGGTGATGGTATTCGGGTAAAATCGGCATCAGCCAGCGTCGGGAGGCGATCAGTCAGCAGCTTAATGGAGGCGCGACTATCGAATTTTCGCTTCTCTGTCCCGTCCTAAGCATGTCATGTCTTCTGGCGTTCCGGAGATGCTTGCACCCCTCTTTACCCATAAGTCTGCCCCGAATTTTCAAAAGAAAAAGTATAGAAATGAAAATATATAAACGAAATAGATAAAAGGGTAATAGATGTGAATATTCCGCCCTTGTTATGGAGGCAAATACATATCGAGCTGAACAGCGGGGACGACAGCACGACGCTCCTCGACCAGGCAAGCACACTGTCTCAGAAGTTGATGCAGCGCAGCGAGTCAGTGTGGCCCAAGATGAACAAACCTTGAACGGTTGAGCGCAAAGTTCATGCGCTTTTGATCGTCTAAGAAGTCACTAAAAGCGGGATCAAAGTCGGTTCGCGTAATGAGGAGGAATACGATGTTTTTCTCCCTGCCCTGGATGGAGTCGACGGTTGCCACCTCGACGTGATTTTCTCGAGCGAACTCAGCCAATCTACGAATCTGTTCTTTATAGAATGATCGAATACTGATGGCACAGAGGGGGGGGGGGGGGGAGGAGAACGCGACGGTGGAGTAGATAGGTGACGATCGTCTTAGTCCTACATACCTCAGCCTCAGCTTCGTTGAAATAAACGGCTAGGTGCTCGTGCGGAGTTTCTTGCGACTTTAGGAAGAGGAACGGGGTATCCCCATCAAAGGCCTACGTTTAGTTGAGGAGTAACGATTGTTGGTTTCCTTCAGCTCCACTTTGGAGGGCAGAGGGCACCCTGGTACACAAAGGCGTTGGGAAGGCATGGGTGGGCGCGAAACGTAGTGACCAGGGAGACACCAAAACAGCTCGAGCTGTCTTTAAGAGGTCCACGACGCTGCGAGCCCCATCGCCAGGAGGTGTGTGCAAATCGGATGTAAGGCTCCAACTGGTGGACATTGCCAATGTGTCGAGCCTGCGGGAGTCGGTTAACGATTGCGATTAGTACAGGCTCGGGGAGTTGCGAAGCTTCACTACAGATGAGCGTGTCATAGCCCGGCAGGTACTCCTCGAGGAAGCCCTTGGAAACGATGCATGCTTTCAGTAGGGAAGCGGTTGTGATAATACAGATGACGTGCGGCGGTCGATAAGTGAACATAAGTGCTCATGTCAAACATTGTGCCGGGTCATATCGCACGTTAAAAAGATATAAAAAGACTCACAGATTCACGTAAAGGACCAGAATAGCAAAGTACTTACGAATACTCAGAGTAGCAATAAGGAATTTAGCAGCAGAAAAGATGTTGCTAAACTTTCAATCAATAAATGGAGTGCTGAGCGCGTCGTTTGTCGGCATGTACTTCCTCTTACAATGACTCATGCTCTGTGCGCGTCGCTTCTTCGCGTTTTCAGTGACAACTATGCTTGACCGAGAAAAGGAAGTGTTCGTATATACATCTACTTCGCATTGGCAGAGAGTACTATTCCGCGTGGACTGTAAGAATTGAATAAACAAAATCACAAGTCCATATGACTGCAGCATTTATGAGAGTTTGAGGTTTTTTGTTGTTGTGAGTAATGGTTGTATGGGAGGAAAAATGGAAGAGAGCAGGTGGATTTTGGGCTTCATGCATTATAAAGAAATTGTCACAGCTGCAACACTGGTTGATACAGGTAAGGATTCAGAAATGTTCCACAGCAATGTTTTCCTTTGAGAAACCTAGCTTGGAGCTAACCCGATATTTTGCCAAGGTTGTTTAAAACTTTCACCCGTACTTGCACTTCTTTTGGACTTATCATTCTGAAGGAAAAACCATGCACATCGCTTATATCGTTCAAAAGCTTATTCTTTTTGTTTCTTGCGAAAACTTTGTTTTTCATGAAGTTTCTTTCATTTTACGTTTCTATGCCTTAAAGGAACAGCAAAAAGAATGCGAAATTTTACTTCGCCTTCTATTGCCTAGAGATGAACAGCAAATGAGAGGATTTTCTAACGTATAATTACTGGGGACTTGTGCTGCAAAAGCTCGTCGAGATGTAATCTTAGAAAATCTGAACCTATCAATTTTTAACACAAACGTTGTGGCCCATATACGTCGCTGAATTTTGAGCTCACTGCACTTTCGCTCTAAATAGTGAGGTTGGGCCTAAAACAATCATTCTAGAAAAAAAGAGATTTTTTTCTTGATTTTCAGCGGAGAAAAAAGGGAAGCGGAACTTACATACACCGATAAGGTTGCGCCTGTTAGCGGAGTTCATAAGAGGTCATGAACTGGCAGCAACGCGAATTTGCACTCAATTTGCACCGAAGATGAGCTGATTCCGCTCACAGTAACTCCGTCATCATCCTGCAGCCTATGAAACCGGAATTTCTTTGAAATT